TTTATATAAAAAGTATATATTTAAAATTAATATTTAAAGTTTTAGTTAAATAATTACAAAAATTAAAAGTAGAAGCAAGCAAATTTGCAGGTGTTACAAATTAAGGGATAACTTTAGTTATTGTCTATTTTAAGTAGTTCACTGCATAGGTGATTAGACTACCTGATTAGTTCTATACTATGCTGCTATACCTGTAACTTACCTGTGAGTTACTTATTTAAACACTCTATTCATTAACCTATACAGATCCAACTTAACATTACTGCAATATCTAACTGCTTAAGCTAGCTAGCTCGTTACAGATCTATTTATTCAGAACAGCTTAGGTCCTCTTAGAATATATTGTATCTAATACATTGTAGGTATTGCAAAGCTAGTTAACATAAAGTATACCTACTAGAGTAGTTTGTACTTATTTTATGAATTCACTTAGTTTAGATCTTTGTAAATATTTATATAACCCCAGTTCCTACTATAGCTTTTCACCAGTTTTCTGTATTCTATCTTCTTAGATATTTTATGAGGCAGATTCTCTTAATTTAGTTAGCTGCTAAGCTAGGTTGGTGTTACTGATCCTCCCTGAAGAATGAATTTATATACATCTGACTCGATCTGCATCTTTTGATAATAGTTTTCTTTCTGAATTAAATATTAGCTAATATAACTATCAAAAGCTGTACTACTTCACTAACTCAGAATTTCTACTATGCAGGTCTTCTGCTCATAGATCCTATCAAGATTTATTCATATAATATTATATCTCACTGAACACCTCATCACACTTCTAATATCTGAATAATATTAGTGTAATATAATTTACAGAGTTACAACTTCAGAAACAGATAGAGTTTACTGTAAGTTAAGTACAAAGGTCTAGATAATTATTCAAATTCGTTGACAGTGGGATTTAAACCTCAGACTTCTTGTATAGTAGTCTGGCAACTTAACTACTATACTAAGATCATCAGACCAAGAAGTTTAAATTTGATAAAGCAGTATCTAAATATAATTTAATATATAAAGTTTTTTATAAAGCTACTAAAATAAGACTTCAAATTAATAAACTAGTAGAAAATTTAAACAAACTAGATCTCTTTTAAAACTAAAATTTATAGTTTGCTAAAGAGAAAAGAGGTACAATCTTTTATAATAACTAATAGAATATATTTATTTATCTTAAAACAATTGTTAGATAGCTTAGAGAAATTTTTGCTAATATAGTAGCAAGTTAAATATATAAGAGTTTACTAAAAAAAAAGATATAAAAGACACTCTCTCTGCTAATCATCTAAACTATTATAGAGCAAAAAATTTTTTATTACAAAATAATTTACAACTCTAAGAAACCTAGCAAAATAGTAGTTATTAAATAGAAGTGTGAGTTGTATAGCCTAGTATTCTTTATATAAGAAACAGAAAGACCTAGTAGGTGATAATACTATTATTTTGGCTGAAAGTTTATGTTATGATGTTTTAAAGAAAAAAGAGAAAAAAAGAAGTAGTAGAGAGGAAGAAGAAATAACAAATAGTATTTTGCACTGAGGCAAACACTCCAACACTCTTTTCCTTTGTAACTAGTTTTTGCAAACAACTTCTTTTATTCTTTGACCAACAAAACTAATACGATAACTATAGCTTTTTTCATTTTAAAAAAAGTAGAGATTCTGGCTCACTTCTAACAAAGGATTAGCACTTATATCATCTTCTATTTTGAGCAAGTCATGTCTTGATTGTTTACAAGTAATTAACACATATGAAGCCAATACGGATCTGCTTATGTAAATAGAATGATAGCTAATAAGAAGTTATACTCGAGATTTATAGTTTATGTATTAGTACTATAAATAATTTTTATCTTTTATGCCTTAGCATGAGCTATAATAGTGTATTCTATCTTGATTATCTTTTTTTATGCTCTCTTTTTCTTCTTTCATTTTATTTTTGTATATTTATTTTCTTCGTATAGGCAGCTTTTTCTCATATTTTGTTATCTCCTCTTTTATTTTTCTTGTTATTTGTTTTTTTATTAGTCAGTTGGAATACAAATTCTTCAGCTCAGGAAGCTAGGAGAAGAAGGTTAGAGAATTGAATAATCTTGATAAGAATGGTATATAGTAACCTTCTGTTAATTAATTGAACATGACTTTGTTTAGGCAAACTATTCTTTCAGAAGGAAAATTTGACTATTGCAGTTAGATCATATCTGTGCACTATTTGGTAGCTGAGTAAGTTCAAAATTGTAAGGAGAGGATATTTATGTAGCTAGCTTAGTTTAGTTTATATTTATATTATAACATTATTATTATGTTTTCTCTCAATAAATGAAGGGCAAGATTGCCTAAGTTCTAAAAAAAAAAAAAAAAAGATATACTCTAGACTAGTTCTCAAATCTAATAAAAAAAGTACTTAAAGAAGAAAACAAAAGAAAAGTATAGAGTCTATACCAAATAAATAATATAAACAGAAAAACTATTAAAACTATTTCTAGAAGAATTTCTCAAAATAGAAGGAAAAAATAATAAATTCTTTACTTAAAAAATAGCATAGTATATTTAAAAATAGTTATTAAAAAAACAGAAAAAGATTTAGTTACAGAATATTAGAAAAATTTTTTAGATTATAACTATTTTGTACTCGTAATGATATCATCTAGATAAATAAGATTACATAATATACTATATATTTATTAAATATATATACTAATATACTGCAGTATTGTATTTATTTATTTTATTAACTAATTGTACTCTTGTACTATGAAATATTTATAATATAAGATACAATATACTATATACCAGTACTCTAATTTCTACTTTACTATGAATAACTTCTACTTTATTATAAATAGCTTCTATTTTATATATGTTTTATTTAGATATTTGGATATTGTGAAGTATAGTAGCTAGTTTGCTTGTATTTTTGACACTTTCTTACCTTTTTTTTGAATTTTGCAATGTATTAATTTGATTATTATTTGAATTTTTAGTTATGTCTTGGACTTTATACTACATTTCTTCACTGGTTTGATTGTTACTTGAAGTAGTTGTTATATATTGTCATGCTTTCTTTAAAAGCTCTTCACTAGATTTATATCTTTTTAGTTATTGACTTTTGTATAGTACATATAATAAATCTTTAATAAACAAGTAATTAGTATTATATTGTTTGTTGAACAATTTGTCTTTCATTTTATCAATGAATTTCTTTATTTAATCAATAAACTTCTCAATTTTATCAGTTTGAATTGCAAGTTCAAGAGCTTTCTTTGCATAATCTATTCCAAGTTTAAATTTTTGTTTAGATCCTTGTTTCTGTTGAATATTAGAGGTTTGTCTAAACTTTTTTAAATATTAGAATAATAATAGTTCAGGTGAAGGTAGTTCTGCTGTCTCAGTTCTTATAATTTAGTATGTTAATATTTCCTCTTAATTGATATTATACTTTGATTTGTTATATCAGTAATGAGGAATTAACAAGATATGAAACTGTATATTAGCTGAATAAGAAATAGTTTAAAAAAAATGCTAACATATAATACTCCTATTAATAAATATAACCTATCATTAAGAAGAATTATATATTGTGGCTCTGATTTTTGCTTGTGATATCTAACTACTTTCTACACTTCTAGAACAGAGTTATGAGCTATATTTTCTAATAATGATAATAACAGAGATTGTGGTTAATTATAGTCATCTTCTCTAGCTATGTTATATTGATAAGAATCATCTGTTAATTAAAAGAGAGAAAAGGTCATAATAACTTGTAAGTAATACTATTAGATATTATAATTCTTTCAAATTGTCAATATATGGGGTGGAGTCAATAAAAAAGAGACAAATTATTTTTAGTGAAATTTTTTTTATTTTTAAATTAAAATATTTCAATAATTATCTTATCAAATTTAATAAATTTTTTTTTATTCTAAATCTATAACTTATTAAAATTAAAATAAAAAAATTTTTATAAAATTTGCTTTAGTAGTTATTGAAATATTTTATTCTAAACTTGAGAAAATATTTACTTAGAAAAAATTTATCCCTTTTCTATTGACTTCACTCCATATCTTACCTCAAAAAGTAATAACTAATCTTTAATTAAAAACATATCATAGCATAGCAATTAGACTATTTGATTATATTGCTTTTAAAGGATTTGTGGTATTAGATATTCTTGCAAAACTTTAGCAATTTCAGGGAAGTATTCTTCTGTTATATTTGGAATTCTTTTTGTCAGAATTTCATTTTTATACTTATTTAAAATTGCTTTTTTTAACTGATCATTAAATAATCTTTAAATTTCTTTAACTATTTTAGTTAAATGAGAAGCTCTATTTAACCTGTCTTTAATTATTTTATTACATACTTTTACACGTTGTATACTTTAAATCTCTGTGGTAGAATTTCTATTGATTATATAACTAGCCTAACTATTCTTACAAGAATATAAAATTCTTATAAGATATTGTTCACAATTAGGATATTTAGCAATAAGTTCATTCTATTTATTTTCAAATTTTTTTTGACAAAATGAGTTTCTCATAACAAAGAATTTTGTATAAAAAAATTCAAATTGATCACATAGTTTTCTCTTAAGTTTTTTTCTTAAGTTTAGATTAATATGAAAAATACAATGAAGATGTTATGTTTCTAGATAATTTTTTTATATTGCTGATATTAGCACTAGATCAGTATTAGAATATAGAACTGCTAGTATAGTATCATATAAATTTTTTAATTCTTGAAGAACCTATGCAAATATTGCTTCTATTTTATTTTCTAAAAGTATAGTAGCTACTACTAAATTACAAAAATTATTGTCTACTACAATAATTAATATCAAAATTATATTAAATGTGTTAGTTTTTAATATTGTATCAACAATTACAATATTATAATATTTTCTATATGCATTAATTTGATCAGAGAATATCCAGAATAAGGAATTTAATCTTCTTTCTTCAGGTTTAAAATAGAGTTTTACTATTCATCTCAAATTATCTTTCTTCTTTGAATACAATTTAGTAAACATTTGACATATATTATTTTTAGTTAGTTTAACATGTGTTTTATATTTTTGTATAGTATTACTCAAATCTTTTTGTTAATTATTTTATAAGAAAATAAGATAACTAATAGATTATATTGTGTAAGTATACCTATTCTACTATAGATCATTCAAAACTTAATTTTTTCTAGCATGTTTATCAGCAAATTTATGTAGATGAAATCTTTCAAAAAAATTTTCAAGTCAAAATATTTCGAAAGATTTATGATTGATGCGAAAATTTTTGAAATAATTAATTTTGAAAATTTCTGAAAAATATTCTGAAGTTCTGCAAAAAATCTTTTAAAATATTATACAAAAAAATTAGAAATCTTTCGCAAATATTTGAAATAATGTGAAAAAAATTGCTTTGCAAAATTTTTATTTTTTAAAAAAAACTTTAAAAAATAATAATTTATATAATACTGTAAAAACTTTATTTATAAAAAAAAAACATCGTTATATAATGAATATTTTCTACATAATAAACAAATACTAAACTACAAAAAAAAAAAATCTAAGAAATGATGAAATCTCTAAGAAAGCTAAAGTACCAACAAATGATATAATCTCTAAGAAACAATGAACGTCGAAGTTCCAAGAAATGCTGAAGCACCAACAAACATCAAAAGCTCCAAGAAATGATGAAGTACCAACAAACGTTAAAATCTCCAAGAAACAACAAAGCACCAACAAATATCGCAAGCTTCAAGAAACATCGAAAGCTCCAAGAAACAACAAAGCACCAACAAACATTGAAATTTCCAAGAAATGCTGAAGTACCAACAAATGATGACAGCTCTAAGAAACGCTGAAGCACCAACAAAACCTACTAAAGAAAGACGAAGAAACCCACTGAAGAAATGCCTAAAAAAAAGAAATGTTAGTATAAAGAAAATCTCAAAAAAACAATGACAACAAAACCTACCAAAGAATGACAAGCGAACGACAAAGAAATGCCTAAAAAAAAGAAATGTTAATACAAAGAAAAACCTGACAAAGAAACCTACTGAAAAACTATAAAGAAACTCACTGAAAAAAGACGA